TCTCTCAAAAAAAGCATCTTTTTCTGACAATTGTGCATTTCCACGTGTGTTTGTGTCATATGCAGCATAGAACAGGACAGGGAAAAATTTGTTTTAAGATTCAAATCCTGCAACTGGTATTAAAGACAAGTATCTGTGCAAGCCTGTTTTTTTTTTAAGCATTTCATTGTCTAAAAAATGCCGTATTTTACAGAGACCATAGACAGTTGTGATACTAAACATATTGTGAGCAGGTGCAGTTTGCAGCCTAAGGAGATGCACAGTCCATAGGTTGTTGAGCAGCAGACCGATTTGAAGGCTGTGTGTCACCATTGCGTATGGGAGGGCAACTCCTGAAACAGGCAATTTTTGTCCAAGGTATACAAGCCAAAGAAGGAAATTTCTCCAGCGGGTTGTTTGCATGCAGCAGGACCAGCCACAGTAACGTCTCCTTGCTGTCCTGGCGTGCGGTGATGCTGTAAGGAAACTAGATCTGCCAGTAGTGACTTTACTTTGTACCTTCAATGTGCATTGTAGCTCCTTGCAGTTGTGGTGTGTGTGTTCCCATGAGAAACTATCCAAATTTTCTGACGCCTGTTGATGTTTAGGGAGAGGCTCCTGCAGGTTCAGGAGTATTGGATTTGGACTTGGTGCTGCACTGCTAACCCCCTTTTCCTATACTTTTAGTGGTACACAGAAGTAGGGTTTGGGTGCCGTGGGCAGGCAGTGGCAGGCAGAGGATGCTGTGGTCAGAGCTCAGAGGAGGACAGGACAGGACATACACCTGCATGCTGCTGATACAGCTCCCAGGGTCTGTTCCTTGCTCTGTGAAGGAGCTTTTGATGAGAGGTCCCTGCTTCCTCCTCCTTCCTTATGTTTGACTCTTTTTCCTTGTTTTCTTCTACCCATTTTCTCACTTACACAGTCCTAGCCTTCCTCTCCCTCACCTCCTTCTTGTCCCACTCTCTTTGCTCAATGTTTGCCTTCTAATCTCAGTCCTACTCTTTTCTAAACTGTACCAGTGCCCTCACTGACTGAATTACAGTTCTGCGTCTTCCCATCAGATCTGCCTCTGACTCTCTTCTAATTTCTCCATCTTGACTTCTCACAGTAGTTGCTTGCTTTGTTTTATGTTTTTTTTTTCCCGCATGCCAGTGCTACTTTCCCCCTTGCATTCAATCACAGTTCCAGCCTGCACTGACTCCCAGACCCAGTTACTCTATCCCATCTCAGAGATCCCTATGCAATTCTGTGTAATTCAAGACGCTGCTCTAGCAATCTGATTACAGGCAGTATCTTATGTTTGAATATCCCACTTATGGGTCTTCTCTAAGAACAACTTTATGATTTAAAACTTAATTGCTTCCCTTCTTCATGTTGGTTCACTTGTTTCCCACCCACTTACCATGGGCAGCTACCTTTTCAATTACCATTTTTGACACCTTTCATTTTTTATGTGCAAAGTTTGTCCCAAAGCAGCAGCAGCAGCAGCTCTTTTAGTAATAGATGAAGCTGATCACAAGTGGCTCCGTTTTGGAGACTGGCATTTCTTCCCCGCGAGGTTGTTGTGGGCTCAGAAATGCTTAGCTAAGGCCTGGTCACCTGAGCCATTTAACTGAAACGGAAAGTATCTCGGGAATAAATTACAACAAAATTGTTCAAGTGCCTCATGTGCCTAAAATACTTCTATCAAGATGGGATATTTCCCATCTCCCCACAGAAAACCATTTTGTCTTTCCTTGAAATATCCTTCAGGAAGTTTTTTTAACCTAACAAGCAAAACTGCTTAATCCTAGCAGTGCTACTTCTAATGTTTGAAAGAAAAAATCCACCTTTTTACTGAACACTAAGCTGCAGAGACCAGGCCAGCCTTAGTAAGTGAGGAATGGAGGATTATATAAGGGCAAGTTCAAGTTTGAAAAAAAGAGGAGAGGCTTAAGGTTATTTTGACAAAAGAAATCTAGAGGAATAAAGGAAGACGAGTAGGGATGGAGGTATCTTCAAAATAAAGGTGTGAAATAAGCCAACAGGAAGAGTAACTCTGAGCAGAGGGCAGGAACGTGCGGGTGATGGGAAGTGAGCAGCCAGCTGGAGGTTTCCAGTTTTCAGTATCTCTAGCTGTAATTCTCCAGCAAACCCTACTAGGCCTTATTATTAAACTGAAGTGAGAGGAGGTAGGGATAGTGTTTGCAAAGGCTCGGTGATTGTGGATGCAGTGCAGAATATTACTAAAGAGAGCAGTGTTCAGCTTGTAATTTTCCAAATAGTTTGCAAAACTGATTAGGGAACTCAGAAAACTTGGACCTTTGGTAGAGAGCATTTTCCATGGACTGGATATTTTTCCTTGTGAGACAGATGAAACTCCATGGCAGAGGAGTTTTCTAGCAGTACTTACACTTCTCAAGGCTTTTCTTTGAACCAGGTGTGATCTCCATGGTGTCTGGGGAAAGGCTGCATCACTGCCCTTCCCCCTTCTCCAGGAGCGCTTCATCCCATGTGGAGTTTCAGGTTAATAGCATTCAGTGGTGACTGTGGGATGGGCTGCGAGCAGGGAAACAGGATCCCTTCTCCAGTCCTCTGGCTCTGCTTACCTTCCATACCCTGTTTTGGAGGCCTTGCTTCTGGGCCGGTGCAGGTTTTGGTATTATTCCAGCGGATCCAAGCTTACAAGCAGGGTCCGTTTTGTTTGTGTCAGTGCAGGGGGAGGCAGTACAGTGGCATGGAGTCACGCAGATACCAGGCCTAGTGTAAAGGGAATACAATACTGTTTTATTCTTGGTCCATGGAAGCAGCCAAGTGGCTTGGTAATTGTCATGGGCACGAGGATGTCTGAGTATGTCTAGATACCTCATCTCTTGGAGGGTTTACCAGTCTAGCTGCTGTTTATGCTAATTGAAAGGACATTGTATCACGTTGTTATATCATGATTTTAACACTTCAACTCTATGGCCCCATCCAGTGAACTGGTACTTGTAATTACTGAGATAAAAATAGCAATGATGACAAATATTCATTTATAATGGAGATTAACGGGATGACACCTACTCCTGACCTGAGCACTGCTCAATGCCGCGAGGGTGACAGAACAGAGTTAAATGGTCTCCTTTATTCGAGAACAAGCCAATCTACAAGACTATAAAGCAAACAGCCATTATACCTGCATATTATGCCATAGTGCCAGCTGGCTAATATTCAGGAAGGATAATTCATGTTATTACCTTGCATTTATTTTATATGCTTTCAATTCATCCACAGAGGCAATCAGCAAGTTAGTGAATGCATGTAGTTTGGAAAAGCCACTCTCAGAGTTACTTCAAAAGTACAAGAACAACCCTTGGAGGGATTAAAATGTTTTGCTGTAGTAAAAGAGGCACAAAGTATGTTACTTAGAAAGAATGGCTCCCATACAGAAAGACCCAGCTAAGACTTAGTGATATTTTTGTAAATAAAGATGCCATATGTAACTTTCGATATGTTAGAAGTTGTTGAAGTTTTACTTAGAAAATGGATGTCCTTGAATCCAGTGAGTAGAGCCATTTTCATATTTCCAATATGGATAAAAAAGTCTGGGAAAAAAAAGGAAGAAATATCAGGAAAACAGAAAGAAAGCAGTGTTCTCTTGAGTTTTACAGATAAATGTCTCAAGCCAGAGAGGCTCCCGTAGCCTTTTTTGCCATCAGATCTGCTGCTTGAATGAAATCCTTTTCATTTTTAACTCACCATCACAAATACCATTTCCTGAGTAACTCCTCTCTGCCTCCATTTGGAATTGGATGTGGCACTTGCATCTCGATTGCCTTCTTTCCACTCTGCATCTGTATGTGGACAATCTGCTTGAAATCTGAATTAGCAATTAATTGTGTGAAACTGAGAACAGAGCAATCTTCAGTATTCATGTGGTTATTTAATATCTTAGGTTTTTTTTTTTAATCCTTGAAATTAATACTAATGTCCAGAGTATCTCAAGAAAGATATATTCATTTCTTTTTTCTCCTCTGTTTTTAACATTTTTAGTGTAATTACATAGATCCTTCTAAACCACAGTGTCCCAATGTACATGGT